GACACACAATACACACAACACACACCGCCAAAAGCACACACGCACACGCACACGGAACACACAACATACACAACATACAGCACACAGAGAGCACATACTTAACATACATACAACCCACATATCACACTTGACGTACTCACACAAGAAGCTCACCACGCAAATACACACACGCACATACGCACACAAGCACACACGCACGCACGCACGCACGCACACACCCACACACCTTCACATTCTCTCTCTCTCTCTCCCACACACACACGCCCCGCAACACACACCACACAATATACACCTATTGCATTAGTGGTTGCATTAGCCCGGGCACACACGCTCCATTTGTGTTAAAGTGTCGCCGCGCGCTTCCTTGTCTGGCTCACTCGCTCGGAACATCCTCAATCATTTGGAAACCAGATGAATCAGTATGTTGACTAAGACGAAGGCCCTCACGAGGACCCCGCCTGAGGGAAGCCCAAGCAAAGGGACTTGGGGCTGAACGGACAGGGGGCTAGAAGCCCCGTCGGCGCAAATACAAACGTGACGAGCACCGTTGTACCTCACACCCACAGTTGTGATCGAAGGCAATCAACCACCAACAACAAGGTACCTGTAGCCAGAGGTTCCCGCCAGCACAGAATGACATGTGAAGAGCACCAACGTTCCTGTGAAAACCAGACGGGCCCCTCGCACAGATCGTGATATCACGGTCCAACAACAAAGCCATGATCAAGCATGTTGAGCATGAAGCCTTCAAGAGCACACGGAATTTCAATGATTCCTCAAACAGTGTTTGCATTTAGGGATTCGGATTTTCTTTAAGGAGTTTGGCCCGTGTGTTTGCCCGGCGGTCCCGTTCCCGTCTGTCTCCGCATGATGTTTCCAAAGACGGCCCGTTTGTTGGCCCCGGCGGCTTTGTTCCCGTCCGTTTCCGCCGCTCCGTTACAAACCCCTTTGTAGCACCTCCCCCTCCCTTCGCATCGCAAGTTGTGTATCTGTTTGAATTGCTTCGCATCGTATTGCGTTGCTTTGAATTGCTTTGGATTGCCCCCCACTGCTTTACAGAGCCGTGCATTGCTTTGCATTGTTTTGCATTGCTTTGCATTGCTTCGCATTGCGTTGCACCACAGGGCATCGCATTGCATTGCATTGCTTCGCATTGCTTTGCGCCACAGTGCATTGCATCGCTTTGCATTGGTTTGCATTAATTTGCATTGCTCTGCGTTGGTCTGCATTGCTTCGAATTGTATTGCTACGCGATGGTGTGCTTTGCTTCGCATTGCGTTGCATGGATTTTCCTTTCGAAGACCAATATAGACTCTATCCCCCCCGGGTTGATCGGCAACCCCTGGGGCATTGCAAAGAATTTATGGTTCTGCCCCATCGATCGTTTTGATTATGAATTCGAGCTGTCCCAGGGCGGTCTTTTATCAGCCCTCCCTTCCTCCCTGTCAGATGATACTATGCGCGCGCACTCGCATATCAAAATCGAAAGTTGCAACACATTAGGCAAAGTCCACACGCGCGCGTCGTCGCGCGTGCATGTCGAAAATCTGCATTAACCGTGGGGTTTCGGAAGGATTTCAAGATCGAGGTCCCAGAAGACCGATACAACATCAATGGATTGCAACATTGCTTTCAAACAAAACCGCTCGTTTTTTTTGCATTTGTCTGGACAGCCATAGTTTTTCCACATTGTCGTCAAAGGACACCACGCGGGCCTCTCGCGCGCGCGCATGTCGAAATCATTCGAGCGCCCTTATGCGCCTACTGGGGGGGAGGGGTGGGGTGCGATCCCTCCCAAATAGTACCATGCGGACCACTTGCACGCGTCGCCCGCGCGCACATGTCGAGACCCTTGCAACATCTTCATCAGCGACATGTGGACATCATCATCATTGTCATCGGCGTGACCAGCATCGGTGCCGTGATTGGCCTTGGCGTCATGATCCTCAGCATCATCGCTACTATCATCATCGTTTCCGCCGATGTCGACGTCACCATGGAACCGCACCCACCCGAGTCACCGACCCACACTGAAGTACCTGCGCGCCAGCGCAGCCTGTGACACGCGCTGGGAAGTCCCCTTCGGTCAGCACCACCGTGGCCTCGTTGGCTGCGCCAATTCAGCCGGTTGCTCCACGCGCGAGCTTCCGCGCGGTAGCTCGGCCGCAGAGATGCGCCAGCCACCGCCAAGCAGCCGTTGCAATTGCCACCGCATGCGTTATGCAAACCAAGTTGCGGGTGGGAGGGTGGGATGATTCGCGAGCAGAGGAGTTGATAACATAGGTTGAGCCACATGAATTGCACCACCTCTTTGCGCAACGTTGGATGCACCACCTAGATTGCACCGCATACGATGCAAGCAACCGCTGTTGGGATCCACGCTGGCCACACATTTAGCACTCGAGCCTTAGAAACACTGCAGTTTCGCTCGCGATATCCTCGCTTAGCCCCGACGTACGACACACACACACAACATACACTCACAACACCCACACGTAACACACAACAGGCCTTCAACGCACACACGACTCACGGAACACGAGCACACACAACACATGGCTTCGCAACGTACACAGCGCACAACACACACCATTCGGACCACACAAGACTCAGGGGAGGAAAACACACAGACACAATTAATCGTCGACTCCCAGGAAAATATTGGAAAATATGGGAAGTGGGGGGGAAGACAGAAACCCCGAACATATAGGCACATATGGGGAATCCTTTTATTTGTGTGTATTTTTTTTGTGTGTCCCAGGGCCCCTTCAAAGACACACGACACACAAATACAGACACACGCAGCGCGCACACCCAGAACACGTCCAGAACCCACAGCACCAACCGCACACATACCGCAAGACACACACACACATCACACATACCACATATCCACACACAACACACGCAGCACACATCACATGGCACGCACAACACGCAACGCACAACACAACACGCACACAGACAATACACAATGCACAGCACAGAGGTTACACATAATACGCATCAGACGCAAGACACCCATCACACGCACACGCACACATACACGCACGTCATTTAATACACAAGACCAACCAGCAGTCACACATACACATGCTGCATTCTTGTTTGCATGAGCCTTGGCACGCACGTGCCATTTGTAGCGGAGGTTGGGGGGGAGATTGAAGTGAAGGTTTGGGATTCGTGTCGCGCGTGCGGGCGAGGCGAAGCTGCGCGGGTTGGCGAGAGGAATGACTCCGATGTGGCTAGGGCGTGTCAAGATCCGTTGACCGCTCCTCCTCCCTCTCCGGTGGGCTGGCAGTGGCCGGGTTGTCCCTCCTTCTCCCCCGCGGTGGGCGGGCGGTGGGCAGGTTGTTCCGTCGTGGTGTCCTTTCGGAGTCCCGTCGTGGTGTCCCGTCGGTGTCCCGTTGGTGTTCCGTGGCTGTCCCGTGGCTGTCCAGTCGCTGTCCCGTCGCTGTCCCGTCGGTGTCCCGTTGGTGTCCCGTCGGTGTCTCGTCGGTGTCCCGTCGGTGTCCCGTGGTGAGGTCGATCGAGTGGGATCGATCGTGTGATCACGCAGCATCGTCACCACGCGTCGTCGCCAACTCGAGGGCGCATCACCAGCATTGCCATCATCACAGCCATCGCAGTTGTCGTCAGTTCGTTTCCCCCCCCACCCACCAATCTCCTTATCATCCGAAGGGTGGTCGTATATGTATTGTGAAGGCCTGACGCCGGTGCCGCCAACCCTGAAAGACATCGACGACGACCAGGGTGGGAGGAGGAGGAGAAGGAGGAGGAAAAGGACTCCCCCCTGGGACCCCCCCCCCTGGGGAGGAGGACCCCACCCGAAAGGTGGTCGTATATGTATTTCGCTCCCTGTAGGGCAGTGGCCGAGAGGATCTGCTGATCCCTCGGTGTCTCCTCGCGGAAGGGCCAGGGGCGTGGGCCCACCCGATGGCGCCTTACTGGGCCTATCCTGGCGCTCGGCAGTGCCCTGGGTTAAGTCGGGCCTGTCCCTCCACAGGAGGAATATTCAAAGGTAGTCCAAAAATAGTCTGCATGGGGACGATGTTTTGATTATTTTCGGTGTATTTCCCATGTCAGTGCCTGCACTGAAGGAGTCCTGGCAGACATCAAAAGATTTGGCGAAAGTGTCCCGCCGATTTTGGTGGCCAGCTGGGTTCCCGGGTTCCCGGGTTCCTGGTTATTGGTTCCAGTCCGATTTCGGTGGGTTCCGGGTTCCTGGGTTCTTGATCGATCTTTTTATCGATCAAACCATCTCTGGTGTAATGTCTATTTGTTATAGAAAATCCGCCTGTAGGAGGACATGCCCGACCTAGGCCGTGGAGGGGGGAGGGCGCGCTACCCAGGATACAATTCCTGGAGGTCAAATTCAGCATTGGGATTTGCGTCGGGCTTACAGTCGGACCGAGGTATAAGATCGAGGTCGGTTCGGGGAGGGTTCCCGTAGTGGTCTTCGTGTTTGATGGATGTTCTTGTGCATCCTGGGGAGGGTGCCCTCGGATGTTCTGTTTGCGTTGGCCGGCGGAGGGCCTTGTGTTCTTGAAGGGTGTTCTCCTGGCCCAGGTCCGAGTGCAGCAGCCCTTCGTCGTTCCGACGAAGACCTCCCAGTATTCCTCCCCCTCCTTCCCCTCCTCCTCCTCCTCCTCCTCCTCCTCCTCCTCCTCATCATCATCATCATCATCATCATCATCATCATCATCATCCCAGTATTCCTCCGCCTCCTCCTTCCCCTACTCCCCTTCCTCCGGCTCCCCTCCTCCTCCTCCTCCTCCTCCTCCTCCTCCTCCTCTTCCTCCTCCTCCTCCTCCTCCTCCTCCTCCTCCTCCTCTCCTCCTCCTCCCCCTACTCCTCGTGTTGCCCTCCTCCTCGACCTCCTCCTCCTCCCTCCTCCTCCTCCTCCTCCTCCTCCTCCTCCCCCTCCTCCTCCTGTTTCCCTCCTCCTCCTCCTTCTCCTCCTCCACCTCCTCCTCCTGCTGCCTCCGAGCGCTGCCGAGGAAGAGGCGCGGCAAGAACAAGGCCCCGGAGCTTGTGAAGGACCCCGTCGAGCTGAACATGCGGCGCGGGAGGGGCTTCGGGGCCAAGCGCGGCCTGGAGGCGCAGGCCGGCTCACAGGCTCGGAGGGCCAGGGCCCCTCCTCCTCCTCCTCCTCCTCGTCGTCGTCCTCCTCCTCCTCCTCCTCCTCCTCTCCTCCTCCTCCTCCCTCCTCCTCCTCTCTCCTCCTCCTCCTCTCCTCTCCTCCCTCCTCCTCCTCTGCTCCCTCCTCCTCTCCTCCTCCTCCTCCTCCTCCTCCTCCTCCTCCCTCTCCTCCTCGCCCCTCTTTTCCCGCATGTCCTGCTCATCTCGGGTCCCTTCTGCTCCTCTGCTTTGGCTGCGGCCTCTCCCGTGCACGGTGGGCTCGTGTCGTGCCAGTGTGGCGCGGGCGCTCAGGGTTGAGCGCAGTTGGTATCGGCCAACGTGGAGCGATCCGGCGACTGAAAAGCCGCCGATCCTTCAAGATTGAGCGATCTACGCAGTGTCAGGAACCGGCATAAACTTGCCGCCTTGGCGGTCAGGTGTATGGCACGTGGGTGGCCATGCAATCCAGCTAGCCATGGCCAATCCCAAGCTCGGCAAAGAGACAAGCTTCTCCTGTGCGCGCGGCAATCCAGCTATCCATGGCCAATCCCAAGCTCGGTAAAGAGACAAGCTTCTCCTGTGCGCGCGAAGCTTGGCACCAAGGCTCCCCCCCACCCCAGGGCCCACGAAGGGCCACCCCCTTCTCGGAGCCGCCCTGGAACCTCCCAGGAGTCTCCAGGAGCCACCGAGGCGACTTGCCACTGACGTGTCCCCAGGAGGTCCTGCCTGACACCTCGAAAGGCCACGAAGAGGCTAAAGGTCACCAAAATGGCCCACACGCGCCCCGTAAGGTCACAGAAAGGCTGCAAGATGCGCAACGCATGAAGGGCGGGCCGTTGCCAAAATGTGGTTCCTGGCTTCAGCTCCGCGCGCACAGACGGATGGAGGGCGGGCCCGATTCAAAATGTGGTGCTCGCTGCAGTCCCGTTCACAATCGTCTTAAAAAGTCCAGCTAGAATGGAGGGTGGCCCGTTTTCAAAATGTGACTCTCGCCCAAGCGCTGCGCACATTCGTTTTAAGGGCTTCCACCAGGTACAACCAGAGCCGTTCAGTCGTCCCGGCTTTCCCGGCGCGGGCAACATAGTAACAGTAGAGCTTGCTTGAAAGTGTAGAGCTGTCGCCATATAGTTTTCTCGATGTTCTCGGAACGCTGTAGTAGTGGTACATGTAATGGTGGGCCTCACTGTCCAGCATCCTCACCCAGGGTCTCGAAGACGTTCTCTGGATTTGAGGTGCCTTTCATGCTGAATCGCAGGGCTGCCCATTACTATGTCTTATGTCATGAACTGGTCTAAACAGGGTTGGCCTGAGGATGTTGGCCGGGAGGGTTGGCCGGAGCCTTGAGGGTTGACCGGGAGGGTTCGCCGGGCCCGTCGTTGCAGAGAAATGTCGTACCACGGGGACGCGACGCGACGACTTATTTACCAGTACCGATTGTATGAGGATAGAAGGACGTTCCTCCTCAGAAGAAAGCTACGGTGGGAGCGTTCGTCAATGAATGTGCCCAGGAGGCGTCAGACCGTAGAGGGTTCTTTATCTGATGAGGGCGCTGGTGATAGCCATGGCCAAGCCTCATCTGGTGTTCCAAAGGCTTCCAGACCCTGGATTCTGGGTTCCTTATACATTGTCCTCACCGTATCACTTTAGGCATCTGCATCGCTATGGAGCTCGTTTTTTATTGCTCGGACCAATAACGCCCGTTACGGGGGGGGGTCCCCCCCCCCGTAACGGTAACGAGCGTACGGGGACGGGGGTGCGGACCCCCCCTCCGTCCAGGCAGGCATGCTGTGACGCTCACATGTGTGCTCAGGTTCGAGGTTCGAGGTTCGAGGTTCGAACCTCGGCGCAAACTCAAAATGGGTCCACGGGGCCCGACTGGGGCTCAGACGCACCAGTTTCCCCAGCCGCGTCCAGCCGCGGCGACGACGAAGGCCCTCGAGGGCCAGGATGCCTCGATCCTCGAGGTTCGAGGTTCGCATCCCTCGGCGCGAACCTTTCAACGGGTTCCGGCCTGGTCCCTCCACCTCCTTTGCCTTGCTTCTGCACTCCCTCCAGTGCTCGTGCCCTCCACCTCCTCTCACCTCCTGGGGGGAGGGGGGAGCGAGGCAGAGGGAGGAGGAGGAGGAGGAGGAGGAGGATGAGGAGGACGAGGAGGACGAGGAGGGTTGGAACAGGATCGGAGGAGGAGGTGATGGGGGATCGGAGGAGGGGCATGAGGAGGAGGAGGGGGCAGACGAGGAGGAGGAGGAGGAGGAGGGGGATGGAGGATCGGAGGGCCTCGGAGGGGGATCGGAGGAGGAGGGGGATCATCTTCCTCTGGTCCAGTGCCAACGGGCACTGCGCTTTAGCACTTGATCGGCAGTGTGGCGCGCCGCAGGTGCCACAGAATGGTCGTCGTCATCCCTGCCGCGTCCGTTGTCATTATCCTGCGGGGTGCACCCGGAGTCCCGACGCCCGCCAGCACGACGTTTCCCCGAACAGTGCGCGCACCAGGAGTTCCGTTGAAACGCAGCGCCACAAAGTGGCCCCGCCTGTGGCGGAACCTGTGGCGCAACCATCGACGCAACCTATGGCACGCCCTGAGGGCGCAACCTAAGGCGCAACGTAAGGCGCGATTTGTGGGGCGCCCTGAGTGCGCAACCTATGGCGCAAGCTATGGCACGCCCTGGGGGCGCATCCTATGGCGCAGCTTACGGCTCAACCTATGGCGCAGGTAATTGTACGCAAGCACAACGTGTGGTGTAACGCATCGGGCAAGCCATGGCGCAACCAGCCGGTGCACTCTCACAATATCCTTATGACTACTACCAATGTCTTCCCTCCATTCTCCCTGTGCTGGTACAAGGGGCTGGACTGGGCGAGACCTGCACGCGGATGTGGCCGCATGTCCTTCCAGCGCTCGGACCTCCTACCTCGCGCGGCTGGTCACGCCAGCCCCCCGCATGTGTATCCAGCAAGTGGGCCCCAAGCGCTGCTGAAGCTTTCGGCAACTGGCTGCGGACACGGCGGCGGCGGCGGCGACGGCGACGGCGGCATCGGCGGCGACGACGACGGCGGTGACGGCGGCGGCGGTCACCTTCACCGCCGCCGCCGCCGCTTGCCGCCGTCGGCGTCGTCGCCGTCGCCGCCGCCGTCGTCGTCGTCGTCGTCGTCGTGGTCGCCGTCGCCGCCGCCCGTGTCGCCGCCGCCGCCGCCGTCGCCCCCCCGGTCGCCGTCGCAACTGACGGCGACGACGACGACGACGCACCCGCGTGCACGCTCCACCCGTCGACCCATGTCTCAAGGGCCTTGTGCCTGTGCAGGGAGCTCCTGCTTCCTGTATTCTCTAGGCTGCCGCCGCCCCGCGCGCCCCCACGGTGCGTGGTTTACATTCCGCACACAAAAAACCGTACACAAGCTTTGTGGTGCACACATGCCATGTGGTATACACAGGCGCCACGGTTCACACTCCCATGATGTACACAGTCGCAATGGAGTACACAGGCGCTGTGGACTCAACAGGTGCGGGCGCTTTTTGAACCAGAAAAACCAAGATCCACAAACAGTTCACATAATGAAAGGGCCACGGTTGGGCCCCGAACGATTTTCTGGACTTTCGCTCCGCTGGTACCTTACAGGTGTACACAAGCTTTGTGGTGTACGCTGGCATTCTGGTGCAAACACGGGGCGTTGAAACAGCAGCTGTGGTGCACGCGGGCGCCGTGGTGTGCACCAACAGTGAGATGTACAAGGGCGCTGTGGTGCACCCGCCTGTCATGATGTGTTCAGCCGCCGTGGTGCACACACATACCATTTCTGCCGCAGTCGTGGTGTACAAAGGCATCGCGGTGTACAGAGCCTGTGTAGTGTGCACAGGCACGATCGGCTTCGACGACGACGACGACAGCGGCGACGACGACGACGACGACGACGAAGCCTACCGTGCCGACAGTTGTGCTGGTAATAAGTACCAGGGCCCGTGCGAGGGCCCCGCCGCGCGTTACCGTTACCCCCAACTTGGGGCCGGACCCCTTCCCCCCCCGTAGCGGGCGCTACCCCCCCCAATAAAGAAAAACAAGTTCATGGCCAGAACTAGAGGTGTAAGTGTTGCGCGGGTGGACGTTGCCCCCCCGTTCAATATGATGTCCTCGTGTGAGACCCTCTCGCCGGATCGTTGCGAGGATGGCAACGCTGTGCAACGGCTATTCCTCCTCCTCCTCGAATCTTCGTCCTCCTCATCCTCCTTTTCCTCCTCCTCCCCCTCGTCCTCCTCCTCCTCCTCCTCCTCCTCCTCCTCCCCCTCCTCCTTCTCCTCCTCCTCCTCCTTCTCCTCCTCCTCCTCTGGTTCGCTGCAGCATCGCTGGTGCACCCTGGATCTTACGCTGGCCCTTCCTCCTCGCCCTCCTCATCCCTCGCCTCTGGCTCGCCACTCCAGGTCCTCGTCTCAAGTCGGGCTTGTCCCTCTATAGGAAAACTATTCAAGATTCGTTTTTAAGATTAGTCTGGTGACGATTTTCTTGTAGTTTTGAGGGTTTTTTTCTTATTCTGTGAGTACCTTTTAAGTTTCGTCCAAAATTCGCTCGTAGGGGGACATGTCCAACCTAATCCTTGTCTTCCCCCCAACCCTATCCTTCGCTGGTGGATCTCGCGGGGGGCGAGGGGACAGCGGCGGTGGGACAGTCTGCTTACACGCAAGGGTACTTGCATGAAGATGTACACCCCATCACCCCAACCCGAGTCCGTAATCGCACCTTCAGCAGCGAGCGTTTTGGCTTTGAAGCGAACGGTTCCGGCTTGTTCGGGCCTGGTCCCTCTTCCGCGCTGCTGAAAGTCAGGCTCCACGGCAGACAGATCCTGAGCGCGCGGCGAATGCGAACGACCGAAACGCGCATGCGCCACGGCGTTCCGGGGGCCGGGAGGACGGGATTAGAGGGGCAGGGGGTGAGATAGGCAGGGGAAGGAGCATGAGGAGGAGGAAGAGAAAGAGTAAGAGGAGGAGGATGAGGACAGGAGGAGGAGGAGGAGGAGGAGGAGGAGGAGGAGGAGGAGGAGGAGGAGGAGGAGGAGGAGGAGGTGAGGAGGAGGAGGAGGAGGAGGAGGAGGAGGTCCAGTGCAAACCGGAAACTCACCAACGATGTTGCAATACACCTTCCTTCCAAGGTCCTTTTTCACTGGTCCCTACAAGGGTTCATTTTCACTGAGGGAAGTGCCCCGTTGGAAGACAACCGACTGAAAATGTTGAACCGTGCCAGAGCATCATTCCTGGGACTTCAACGCCGCAGATCAACGTTACTGTTGTGTCTTGGCGATCCTGAATCGTGCCAGAACGCCGTTCCTGGGACTTCAGCATTACGAATAAGTGTAACGGTTGCACCTTGACGGTTCTACATGGTGCCAAGACACCAGTTCTGGTGCGCCAGCCATTAGAATCCTGAAAGTGGTTGTGAACTCTTAGGGCGAATGTGCGCGGCGCTAAGACGAGAACCACATTCTGAATATGTACCGGTCTCCATCCGTGAAGCCCTTGCATTTTTTACGACGAATGCTCGCGGCGCTAAGGCGAAAGCCACATTTTGAAAACCACACGACCTCATCCATGAAGCTGATGCAAGTTTGAAGACGAATGTGCGCGGCGCAAAGGCGAGACCCACATTTTGAAAACAACCCCCTCTCCATCCTTGACTTGCAAGCTTTCAGCCTTAGTGTCATAGATAGTGGGGAAGTGTCAGGCGGAATGCCCGGCCCACCCCAACGACACGTCTCGGGTGAAACAGGGAGGAGTCATTTACAAAGAAAAGGAGTGGAGGAGGAGGAGGAGGAATTTGAGGGGGAGGGGGAGGAGGACCAGGATCATCCAAGAAAGTCGCCCAGGGCTCTGTGAGCGCAGTGGCGCCTTAGATCTAGGCCTCCCGGATAGGGGTCGGAGTAGATGGGGTCGGAGGGTCGCCCGCGCCTCGCCGATGCGGCTCGATGGGGAGCCCGACTTTCTCTCCGCTGGCGTTGCCGAGGCATCGCTGACGTCGCCGATGCATCGGCGATGCATCTGCGATGCATCGACGATGCGGCGCGTTCCTCCGTTCCGATTTACTCGGGCCCCATCTAGGTGGCCTCTATTAGACCAGCTTCGTATTACCGCCCGGAGAGGCAAGCGCACACTCGGGCTCACGGGGGGCAGACTGTCGTCTTCCATAAAGCTTGAGATCCCCGTCCATGGTGTCGCAGGGGTCGTTGCCCTGCCGGAGCCGATGAATCGCCTCCGCCGACCCCACAGGACGGCCCAGGAGGGCCCCGGGACGCCCTGAAAGGGCCCCCAAGAGGTCCTCGAACAAAATCCTTGGTTCGGAAGCCTTCGGGGAGGAAGGGGGGAGAGGAGGAGGAGGAGGAGGAGGAGGAGGAGGAGGAGGAGGAGGAGGAGGAGGAGGAGGAGGTAGAGGAGGAGGAGGAGGAGGAGGAGGAGGAGGAGGAGGAAGAGGAGGAGGAGGAGGAGGAGCAGGAGGAGGAGGAGGAGGAGGAGGAGGAGGAGGAGGAGGTTGTGCCGAAGTGTGTGTGTGTGTGTGTGCCCTACGACCGGCCAGCCGACTGGCCGACCGAGGAGTTGGCCTGTGGAGGTATGTCGGCCCACGGCGCCCACAACCTGCCCGCTGTCCAAGCAGGGCGTCCAGAGAGGGGGGAGAGTTGCGGGTTTCCTGCTCCCCCGAGGAGGGCGGCCACCCAGTGGTCTCTGGCTGCCTGGAGCGAGCGAACCAGGAGGGCGGCAAGTCGTGGGCCTCCGACTTCGCCTTCCAGAACCGGCCGCTGCTGCGCGGCCGCGATGCGCTGAGCAGCGAGGAGCCGGCCGGCCGAAAGTCGTCTGGGCGGGCAGAGTGTCGGCACGAACGGAAGGAGTACGGAAGTAATGGCTACAATGCCCTACAGCAGTTCCTGCTCATTTTGAACAGGACTCGCTGTCGGTGTCGCCGCGGCCTGTGTCCATTTGAGACAGCAGGCCGCCTGCCCAACAGCGGCCGCTGTCGGTTTGGGACAACATTTGCTGTCGGGCATTGTACCCATTTGTCCGTACCCATTTCGGGTTTCCAACGAGTGGTGCGAACGGAACTGTATATGCAGTGCGCCGACACTGGAAGACAGAAGTTCCCAGAGTGATTAGCAATACAAGGCCCCTTGACCCTTTCGGAGCGGGCCGAAGTTAGGCGGACCCAAAACATGAGGGAAAAATGAGTCTTTGCTGCAGCAGTATCAAACCAATTCCTTTTGCAAAGACGAAGACCTAAGTGAGGCCACGTCTTCACTGTGTTGTTCGGGTGAGGGGTTCTTTCGTTCTCGATAACAGAGTCCAGAGGTCCGAGGAGGTCCCCGCTGAGGTGCCTGGAGGCCCGAGAAGTGTAGAAAAACATCCACGACTTCGACTCGAGGATCGAGGAGAAGCCCACGGGCCATCCCAGCAGGTGCCTCTGGCCTGACGTGCGGTCCCAGAAGGTGCTGGGGAATGCAGCCGCATGGGGCTCGAGGGTGTGTCGCTGATGCTCTTGCCGTGGCGTCTCGTGCACCCGGCATGGGCTCCGTGAGGGACGATTGGGCGTTGCGGCATGGGTGGTGTAGAAATGTGCACCTGCTGTGCCCTCACGGGGCTCTGAAGGGGCTCCCTGAAGGGGCCCTGAAGGGGCCCCGAAAGGGGCCCTGAGGGGGCTCTGGGCAACGCCCGAGAAGAGGTCGACGGGGGGGGCGATCAATGGGGTGCTGAAGAAAGGTGGTTTGTGCCCTCCAGTGGCCTTGAGAAGGGGCTCCCTACATGGGGCCCCGAAGGGGCGTCCAGCAGCGCCCGAGGAGAGGTCGATGGGGGGGAGCGTTCAGTGAGGGGGTGAAGAGACGTGTACCTCTTGTGCCCTGAAGGGGCATGAAGCAATGCCCGAGAAGAGGCCAACGGCGCATCCGTTCGGCGGGTCGGGCTCGGGCGTGCTGCGGACGGGCTGCAGCCGGGGGAGCTGTGGTCCGGGGCCCACCGGCCTCGACGCTTCTTTGGAGACATCGTCGGAACTCTCGCAGGGGGGGGGGGGGGATGAACACAGCTCCTCCAGTGGAGCGACGACGACGACGACGATGATAGAGAGCGGCGGCTGGCCCACGATGACGAGGGCGTTGGCGCGGGCATTCGCGCGTACCCTTCCACGAAAAGGCGCTCGTGACCGCGCTCTTCTCCAAGCGCTGTGCCATGCTGGCGGGCCGCGCGAGCCGCGGCGTTAGATCGGCGTGTCTCCTCACGTGAGGCCCTTTCCTTTTCGTCGCTCGGTTGTGGGTTGGTCGGTGTTGGTCTAGGGGCAGACTTGGCAACGGTCCCCGAGTCTGCTCGTCTCGTCGACCTGCATCTCGCCGATGGGCGCCGCTGTGGACCTGGATGTCCTCTTGCGGCAGCGACGGCAGAAGCGGATGCGGGATGACGATTGGCAGAAAAGCGACGGCAGAGTGAAGACATATTCCCCCCCCCCTCCTTTCGCGCGTCTGCGCAGAAGCGCGCCTGGCACCTCCTCAGTTTGCACTCACGGGCGGCTTCGTTTGGAAAGCTTCAGGTAACGCAACTTGCACAGCATGTCTGCACTCCCGCGCACCTGCGTGCGCAGCGACGCGCATAACGCACCACACTGGACGAGCCGCACATACCGGCCGAAGTGCTGTGTTCCCGCGCACCTCTGTTGTTCGCATGCGGCAGGCTCGCTTTTGCTCTCGGGCCAGAGTTCGCCGCAGAAGTTTGGCTGTCGCAGTTCGGCTCGTGTGAGGTTCCTGGCTTGCCTGGGGATGTTTTGATTCGCGCAGCGTGCAGCGGAGGTCAGGGGCAACGATAGGGGGGGATAGGCATAGGGGGGGATGCATCGACCCCCAATCGCCCATTGATCGCCAATAGGGGCCCGATAGCCCCACCCCGCCCCAAAAAACAGTCTCACTATCGGGGGCCTGTCGCCGAGCTATCGGCGATGTATCGCCGATTCCAGGTCGATGCATCCCCCCCTGTGCTGGAGGGTTTCTCCGAAGGGCTTAGGCGACCCCTCCCCCTCCTCCTCCTACCCCTCCCCCTCCTCCACCTCCTCCTCCTCCTCCTTTTCCTCCTCCTCCCCCCCTGTGCCTATCCCCTCCGATCGTTGCCCCTCAGGAGGCAGCCTACACACGGCTGCCCTGCAGGGAAAAAAAACACGCGGGCAGCCCCGCGCACGGTGCCGCGCGGGGGGCACGCCACGAGGGGCGCAGGCAGACCCATGTGAAGACAGCGGTGCGGCTATGCCTCCTCCTCCTCCGCCTTCCTCCGCCTTCCTCCGCCTTCCTCCTCCTCCTCCTCCTCCTCCTCCTCCTCCTCTCCTCCTCCTCCTCCTCTCGTCCTCCCCTCCTCCTCCTCCTCCTCCTCCTCCTCCTCCTCCTCCTCGCACAGACCGGCGCCGGGCGTACGGTATTCTGGCGCCGCGTTGAGGCGGCGGCGACCCCAGCGCGGGCGTTCAAGGTTAAACGCCGCCAGTGTCCCAGAATCGACCGATGTCGAGCGATCTGCACCGTCGGAGAGCCGCGATCGCTCCAGGTGGAGAGGCCTGCGCGGCGTCAGCAACCGACGCCCCCTCTTCTTCGCGATGCGGACCAGCTGCAGCGGAAGGAAAGAGCCGCAGGTGAGCGGCGCAGATCTTATACCTCGGTCCCACTGTAGCCGATCTCCTCCCCCCTGCCGCCCTCCTTGGAGGGGCGGCACGGGGCGGCCGCCGACGGCGGCCCTTCGGATCTCCCTTCTCTGAGCAATTGCCCAGAGAGAGCCTCTCCGAGAGCTCCGTCCGACTCGGGCCACCTCTGGATCCAGGTGAGCGGCGCAGGAAAGAGCCGCAGGTTCGATTGCGCCGACATTCGCGCGCAAGCTTCCCGCGTGAGGTCGCGCGTAAGCGCCCTCTTCTCCCAGTGTTGCGTGCCGCGCTGGCGGCCCGCGCAAGCCGTCGTGCAAGGTGGCTATGCCATGTCGCGTAAGGCGACGTGCTTCTCGTCGCTTAGGTGATACTTGCAGCGCTGTGCTCCTGGCGCACCTCCGTGCGCCAGGTCGCATCTGGCACGCCATGAGGGGTGTAAGACGGTACATGCGAGCAGCCACGTTGCACTCGCGCTCGCGTCCGCGCGCAAACCCGCGTCTGGCGCACCACAGGAAGCACAAACGCTTGTTGTTGCACTCGCGCCCGCCGCCGGTGCGCCCAGGCCCCGTCTGGCACGCCGCGAGGGACAGAGCGCGGGTGAGCACGGCAGTGCTGTGCTCCACGCGCGCGCCTCCGTGCGCAAGCCCGCGTTCGGCGCAGCATTATGTCGGGCGTGTCCCCCTACATGAGGATTTGCGACGAAAAATAAAACATATCCCAAAAGTGCCTTTAAAAAGTAAAACAAAAATCAAAAAATAGTACCTTGACTATTCTTGAACTATTTTTGGATTATCTTTGGGATCTGTTTTTTTCCGTCGAAAATCCCCCTGTAGGGGGACAGGCCCGACTTAACAGGACGAGGATGAACCGTTCCGAAGCGTTCTGGGACGCTCTCAGAGCCTTCCAGAACGCTCCGAGAAGGCCGCGGCGCCCGAGACATCCTCTCGAGCCGCCGGATCCCGGAGATTCTCGATTGGTCTTCACCCGATCTCATCCTCGTCTTGGCTTCGTTTTCTGTACCGTTCAGCATCTGATTCAGGAACCGCCTCCCGAACAGCTGGGCCAGCGCTTCGGAACCATCTTGCCAAAAAGCTGCCCATGTTCTTTTCGGGCACGTTCGCCGCATCCAGCGCGAACAATTGAAATTTGCCGAGGGTTGTTTGCAAGAGGCTTCTGGGAAGCTGGCCCAGATTGCTCAAACACTATTATCAGGAGGGGAAACAACACACAGACACATGTAACCGTCGATTCCCCCGAAAAGATGGGAACATATGGGAAGTGGGGGGGAAGACGATAACCCAGAAAATATGGGAAGATATGGGGAATCCTGCTGTTTGTTTGCATTTACTTGTGTGTCTCAGGGCCCCTTCATCTATTAATAATCACGTTCTTCGAGGCCGCTTCTGGTCCGCCACCGCCACGAGTGACCAGCCTCAGACGAAAGCCACGCTGTACTCATGCACACTGCGTGCGCAGGCCCGCTTCCAGCGCAGCGCACGTAGACGAAACGCGCACACAATTTCGGGGAAACGCAAGACTCGAGTACGCCGGAACGCGTGTTTGCCAACGTTTTTTTGACGAGCGCGTCCTGGATTTTGACGGTCCAGTTTTCGTGGGATGCCTGCAGGAGTCAAATTTCAGATTGGGTCTCGTCATTTTCATTGATGGCCCCGTCAGGCCAACCCGAGTCCCCCGAACCCGAGTCTTACGCCTCCCCGAAATGTTTACAGTTTTATGGTCCCGCGCGCCTCCGTGCAACAAGCCGCGCCTGGCAACTCGCGGCGGACAAACCACACGTGAAGTAAACGAGTGTGTAATCATGCTCACTTCCATGCGCCCGCCCGCTCCTGGCGCAACACAGCTGGACGAAGCGCACATCACAATTTGCAGTTTTGAGATCCCGGCGCGCCTCCGTGCACAGAGCCGCGCTTGGCACGCCACGGGGGACGCGACATACGATACATGAAAACAGCCATGTTGTACTCACGCTTGCATCCGCGCGCAAACCCGCGTCTGGCGCATCACAAGGGACGAAACACTACGTAGCACCCCGCAGATGCGGATAAGAGTGAGGGGGCGGTGGGGGCGTCGGCAGTCTGCGAGACTCTGGAGAAGCCCGCCGCAGGCGCCAAACTTTCACAACTTATCAGCGTGAGAGGGCCGAACGATCGTTCATTG